TCAACCTTTATGCTGAGCAAATAATCCGAGAAGCTGGGTTATATGAAGAAAAACGTGGCATCAGGATTGGAGGAAAACTCATTAATAACCTGAAATCTGCAGATGATACAACCTTTCTTGCTGAAAGTGAAGACGACTTTTTTAAGTCTACTGATGAAGATCAAAGAACACAGCCTTCAGTATGGATTGCATCTCAATGTAAAGAAAACAAAAATCCTCACCACTGGACCAATAAACAAGATTCTTATCAACGGAGAAAAGATTGACGTTGTCAAGGACTTCATTCTTCTTGGATCAACTATGAACACTCATGGAAGCTTCAGCCAAGAAATCAGAGGACGTATTGCATTAGGCAAATCTGTTGCACAAGACCTTTTTAAAGTGTTGAAGAGCAAAGATGTCAGCTTGAGAATTAAGGTACACCTGACCAAAGCTATGGTATTTTCAATCACCTCATATGCCTGTGAAAACTGGACAATGAATAAGGAAGACCATAGAAGCATTGATGCTTTTGAGTTATGGTGTTGGAGAAGAATAGTGAAAGTGCCATGGGCTGCCAAACGAACAAACAGATGTGTTGAAAGAAGTGCAGCCGGAATGCTCCTTGGAAGCCAGGATGGTCAAACTTCATCTCTCATACTTCGGACATATTGTCAGGAGGGACCAGTTGCTGGAGGAGGATATCATATTTGGTAAGATGGAGGGTCAGAGAAAAATGGGAAGACCCCAGTGTGATGGATTGGCCAAGTGGCAGCATCAGTGGGCTCAAGCATAGCAACAATTGAGAGTTTGGCCCAGGACCGGGCAGTGTTTCATTCTGTTGTACATAGGGTTGCTATGAGTCGGTACAGGCTCAATGGCACCTAACAACAACAACAAAAACTACATGTCTTTGCTATAAATAATGCTTCATAGTTAATGTCTAAATGAAAACACTGTTGATTTAATACAAATTGCAATATTACAATATGTTGGGAGGTAGAACACTTCAGAAGAATGTCCCTTTATGGTGGGGTCTAACTGGTGGAAATAGAAGACAACTAGATTCTTCTTTTTGTAGTGGGAAGCCCAAATTTAAATGATCACACATGAAGTAACAAAAATATCAATAACAGTAAAAATCAAAATACTGACAGGGATGCATGCCCAGGTCACCTTTAAGGAAGGAAGAATGGGAGAGCAGGCTGGTGTTCTACACAATAAACTTTTACTATGTATTTACTATAATGCATGTAGCTTGGAGAGGGTCAAAGAAAGAGAGAAAAGCCCCAACATGACAGATTGACAATGGTACAACAACAGGCTCAAACCTAACAATTGTGGCACAAGAACCGCAGTCAGAACTGATTTGACAACACCTACCAGCAACAGCATGTATAGCTTTCATTTAAACAAAAAACAAAACAACAATGTTTTGCTTTGTTTTTAGGAAGGGATAAAGGAAATGTTTATTTATTATCCATCCATTCTCTCTCTGAGAGGTAGACAGTGGTGATGGTGGTGGTTATATGCCACCTAGTCGGTTCTGACTCATGTTGTTGTTAAGTGTCGTCCAGTCGATTCCAACTCATAGCGTCCATGTATAGGGTTTCCAAGGAGCAGCTGGTAGGTTTGAACCACTGACCTTGTGGTCCACAGTCCAGTGCTGATCCAACAGTGCCACACCAGGGTTTCCGAGGCTGTACATCTTTATGGGAGCAGAAGCGTCACCTTTGTTCTGCAGAGCTACTAGGAGATTAGAACTACTGAACTTGTGGTTCAATAGTATATACTTCCTTGAGAGATAGATAATGCTTTCTAATTTCCCTTAAACAAAACAAAACCACACTGCTGAAAGTCAATAGTGACTCTATAGGACAGAGTAGAGCTGCCCCATAGGCTTTCCAAGGCTGTAATTTTTACAGGCGCAGACAGCCATATCTTTCTCACATAGGAACCACTGGCCTTAGAATCTTACTGAGTCCAATATTTAATATTCTTCACAGTGGGGGATATGACTATTTCCACAGAGTGGTTCATGAGTAAAGAAAGGGAAAATCAGTCCCAGAATAGGGGGAGCTGGGTGACAGCTAGACTTAATCCATTAATCTGCAAGTTCTGGTGTGGCGCTGTGGGTTAATGTTCTAGACTGCAAAGCCATTTGAATTGCAAGATCAGCGGTTCAAGCTTATCAGCTGCTCTTGGGAAACCCTATACAGGGTCACTATGGGTCAGAAGCAACTCGACTGGACGGCACTTAACAACAACAACACAATGTCAATTACAGTTTGATCTGAATGGGAAGTAGCCTCATTTTACCTCCCTCCTCTCCAGGTGGGGGATTTCAATTATTGATTAGCAGGATGGGGTATGGGAAAGGGAGTGCGGGGTACAAATGATAATCAAGTCTTCCCTGCCTTCTACAGTGATAGAATGGTGGGGAGCGAATGTGCCTTCCTTTGTGGTCTCTGCTCTCAGAACCTGTTTCTTGGGCTCTTACCATGTTCACTAGCAGTCATGTATGCAGTTAATTAAGTGGATTTTTATAGACTAGCAAGGGATCCAAGCTGTTACCTGTAGCAAGATGTATTCTATCTTGGAATTCAGACCCTGCCTCAGATTTGATTCAACAAGTATGTAATTAGGAGGACAAGTCGTGGCCCAGTCCAAGCAGCCTGAGTGTTCCAATGGTGGCCGTGGCTTATGAAGACCCTCTGTTTTCCCAGGCTATCAGTGTACCTGTCTCTCACAGTTCACCGGGAGAAACTGTGAATCCGAGATCACAGCCTGCTTCCCAAACCCCTGCCGGAATGGAGGATCATGTGACCCAGTTGGAAACACTTTCATCTGCAATTGTAAAGATGGGCTCACTGGAGTCACGTAAGTGAGCTTGTGCAGCAGTTTTTCTCTAGGATGCTTCTTGGTGATGGTATGCCATGGAGTTGGTTCCCACTCATAGCAACCTTGTGTAGGGTTTCCAAGGCTGTATGTGTTTATGGGAGCAGAAAGTAAACAAAAAGCCTATTTTATCCCAATTACTTGTGTTTTGATTTATTTTCTTAGATGTCTAAGCAGCTCTGGTAGTGTAGTGGGCTACGTGTTGGGCTACAAACAGCAAGATCAGTAGTTCAAATCTGCCAGCTGCACCGCTATCTGGGTATGGCGCTGCGGGTTAATGCACTGGACCACAAAGCCAGATTGAACTGCAAAGTCGGCAGTTCAAGCTCATCAGCTGCTTCTCTGAAACCCTATAGAGGGTCGCTATGAGTCAGAACTGACTCGATGGCACTTAACAACAACATAGGCAAATGGAGTCCTGGTATGGCACTACAGAATAATAATGCACTAAACTGCAAAACTGGTTTAAACCACAAAGTTGGCGGTTCAAGCTTGCCAGCTGCTCCTCAGAAACCCTATACAGGGTGGCTATGGCTGACTCAAAGGCACTTAACAACAACAATATAGATTCTGTAATTAGGTAAAGCAAAGGAAATCACCTATGCCACCTAAGATTTCCAGTATAATTCTGAGATAGGCATGCTATATACATTTCCTCTGAACCCACTAACTGGACTTTGCTGACTATCATTTTGTGGTCCTTCTGAGAAACTGAAACTTACTTTCCCTTTGCATATGCCCACACTCCTCCACCCCCAAGAAATAAGGAAAATTAAAATGTTAGATGGAAATGAATGTTTTAAGATCTTAGTAAAACACCACTTTGAACCATCCTTGATCATTTTAGAAGAATATATTGCTGTTGTTGTTAAGCACCAGCAAATTGACTACAACCCATGGCAACCCTGTACAGGGTGATCTTGAACAACTTACCTTGAAGTTCAAACCAACCTTGCAGTCCAGCGCATTAACCCATAGCTCCATAATTTTAGCCAACTTTGAATCATTGAGTGAAATAAAAAGTAATAAGGCTGCATTTATTTTTAAATACTCTGATTTTAAATCTTCTAATTCCCAACTGAGATGACTTCAATCTGTTTCAATTAGAAACATTTGCCTACATTTTTAAAATGTGCATGGCCAAAAATATAGGTGATTGGGTCTTTGAAATGAACACATCAGAACAATTGCTGAAGGAGAGAAAGCTTGGTCCATGTTCTCAAATAATGTTTAAGAAAGAATAAGACTTCAATATTTGCCTTAGAATTATACTCAAAGCAAGTAGTAAATATTAAATATTAGGAGTCTGAATTGCTTTACAGGGAATAAAATTGCTTTAGTTATTACATTAAAATGCTTGTGTCATTTTCTCCTAATAATCTGCATCAGCACTGAACTTTAAGATAAACAGAGCACACACACACAAAAAAAACCCCACAAAAATAAACAGATATGTAGCCTTCATCCCACCCATCTTCCACCTGGCATGTCTAGCTTCCTAGAGGGACCACAAATGACTGAAACCATTTATAATAGTTATTGTTAGAGGAGAATGTCAAAACCAAAGACTTTTTCCTTTCTGATTTACAGCTTTTTATCTACAATTCTATAATCACCAAAATTCTGGGAACTAAATGGGTTTGGGGTAAGCTAACTTAATGGAACAACCTGGCCCAAACATTCTGAGGCTATATGTCATTTTAATTTTTTTATTTAGTATGAATATTCATATGTTTCACTTTAGAGACACTGATATAGTTGATTATGGGCCCCTTTGTCTGCACCAGGTGCTAGGTTGGTGCAGTGGTTTTAAGTGCCTAGCTGCTAACTCCACAGCCACTCTTTGGAGGACAGATGAAATAGTCTGCTTCTGTAAAGATTTACAGCCTTGGAAATCCTATGGGGGTAGACCTGCTTCATCCTGTAAGATTACTATGAATCAGAATCAACTCAAGGGCAGTGAATTGCTCTTTCTGTTTGATTTTCACCGTTTTTTGTTTTTTTAATGCCAGCACCAGAGTCCCCAGCTAGTGCAAATGGTTAATAGGTTCGCTACTAAACAAAAGGTCAGAGGTTTGAGTCTATCCAGACGAGCCTCAGAAGAACGGTCTATCTGGCAATCTACTTTTAAAACCAACCACTGAAAACCTGGGAACACAGCTCTATTCTGACACACATGGGGTCACCATGAGTAGGAATCCACTCTAGGGCAACTACTGGTTTTGCCTTGTGTTGCTTGTAATAACAGCAGCAGTTCAGGGAGAGGGGTGGGTTCATGGTAAGAGAGAGATGCACGATATGACCATTCTAGCATTGCAAAACTTTTAGTCTTGGATCATGTCTGGGTTTTAGAGCTCTTCAGTAGCATCTGTTGTTACTCCTTTTCCTTCCCCTTCTTCCCTCCCCCCCATAGTATTTCCCCTCCCCGCACCTGGGTGGAATCATACTAAGTGGGAGAGGGTGGGGTGTATGAAGGAAACACCATGACTAGACCCACAAGTGCCTGAATTAAGCCCCTCCTCAACACACACCATCTTTGCCAGGCCTCATCTGTTCCCTGTTGTTAAATGCCCCTGAGTTGGTTCTGACTCATAGCAAGTTTATACAGACTTTCCTAGGCTGTAAATCTTTGAAGGAGCAGAAAGCCTCATATTTCTCCTGCTGAGCAACTGGTGGTCTCCAACTGGTGGTCGCCTTTGTGGTTCTCAGTCTGGTGCTTATGGTACAGAGCTCCCTTCTGTCCCCTGTAGGCGCTTTATATTCTTTTTAAAACGTCCGTCTTGATCAAGTCCGTGTATAAGCCTGTGTCTCCAGGCAATGATGTTTGAGATGCTCTCTGTGTGTTTCGTGGCCGTAGGTGTGAAGAGGACATCAATGAGTGTGAGCGAGAGGAGTGTGAGAACGGGGGCTCTTGCGTCAACTTGTTTGGCTCCTTCCTCTGCAACTGCACGCCAGGCTTCGTGGGCCAGTACTGCGGGCTGCGTCCCGTGGTGGTGCCCAATATCCAGGCTGGCCACTCCTACGTAGGGAAGGAGGAGCTTATTGGAATCGCAGTGGTGCTCTTCGTCATCTTCATCTTGATCGTCCTCTTCATCGTCTTCCGCAAGAAGGTTTTCCGTAAGAACTACTCGCGGAACAACATCACGCTGGTCCAGGACCCTGCCACAGCTGCCCTCCTCAACAAGAGCAATGGCATCCCATTCCGGAACCTAAGGGGCGGTGGCGATGGTCGCAATGTCTACCAGGAGGTGGGCCCCCCACAGGTCCCCGTGCGCCCCATGGCCTACACCCCATGCTTCCAGAGCGACTCCAGGAGTAACCTGGATAAGATTGTGGATGGGCTGGGGGGCGAACACCAGGAAATGACTACATTCCACCCTGAGTCACCCCGCATCCTGACAGCCAGGCGAGGTGTGGTCGTGTGTAGTGTGGCCCCCAACCTCCCAGCAGTGTCACCATGTCGATCGGACTGTGATTCCATCCGGAAGAATGGCTGGGATGCAGGAACTGAAAGTGAGTAGGCAGTGGTGTGCTATCATTTTTTCCACACGTGTTCACGAAGCATGCTGTGTGCATTCATTCTGATGCGTTCTGTCATTTAACTTTTACACCTGCCCTGAAACATTGCTCTTGTGGTTAACCCCATTTACAGAGGGGAAAATGAGGCTCAGAGAGATGCCCAAGACCACACCACTACTAAGAGCAGTCAGTGCTTGGTTCCAGGTCTACCTGACTCTAAAGCCCACCCTCTTCTCCTAACAGTACTTTAGGCTGTAACACAAACTACAATTGTAACATTAGTGACTTAACAGTAAACATTCTGGGAAGTTAGAAGAAGAAAGAAAGTATTTCTAATTAGAGTGAAGACGAGGGAAACAGAGGACCATTTTATTTGGGCCATGATAAATTAGAAAGTCCGGACACACATACATGATCAGAAGAAAAACAAGTTGTTTAGCTGGAGTTAAGGGTCCCGTAAACAAGATTGTGAACCACAAGGCTGAAGAAGTGGCCTGGGCCAGATGATGCTTTTTCCCTCTCCTTTTGAAATCATCCACCAGCATTCTGGAGTCCTGGTGTGACCCTGTGGGTTAATGTGCAAAGTCGCTTTGAACTGCAAGGTTAGCGGTTCAAGCTCACCAGTTGCTCCTCAGAAACCCTATACAGGGTTGCTGTGGGTCAGAACCTACTCAAAGGCACTTAACAACAATAACCAACATTCTAGGCACAGGGAAGACCTGCAAGTGGAAAGGCCCTAGGGTAGAAAAAGTTTGTTTTGCTGAAGGACACAGAGAAGATCAATGCAGTCAGAGTTTGGTGAGCACCCAGGGAGAGTAGAATGCATTTTAGGACTGGGCTTCAAATGCTTCATTTAGGTCTGACCCCCTGATGAGAATTTTCATTTTCACCCTAGAGAAGCTGAATACCTATACACAAGGTATTCCTGGTCATCATTCTTTTCCCTCTCCCCACCTCAGCCCCCTCATCTCTCACCCACACTTTATAATGTGACAGCTTTATTTCTAGAATCCACCTCAGGCCAAAACTCAGATTCATCCCAAGTATTGTTGAGTTGAATGGAATACATTTCCTTCTTTGTTAAGCAAGACAGAGTTAGCTAGCAAGACAATTTCTAGAAGTTAGGATAAACGTAATGACATTCTTGCCTACTGGTGTCTTTGAACATGAGTAAGATATCTTGCCTTCCTTTCTTCTGTTTAAACCCACCCTGCAGTCCAGCACATTAACCTACAGTGCCTCACCAAGACTCCAACTTTAAATATATTCCCTCTCAAATTATCTGTAGCATTAGACTTCACTACAATCATGCCAGTTCACTAGCTAAGAGAAAAGTCCTTTTTAATCCAGCAATGAGAGAAGGGTTTTGACTAAATGGAGGAGTGGAGAGAGGAGCTCTATGCCTGGTACCATATGCACAAGGTAGATTATTAGTCATTTCCTTCCTTGTGCTATGCACTGCCTCAGAAAAGCACATCTTCATATTTTCTGCTGTATGGCTGTTGGGAGGTAAATTTCTCTCTTCACTTATATTAGTTGTTTATCCAACTCATCATTTTGCTGTGACTTCAGCATCTGACAACAGACACAAAGCCTCCGTTCCTGCTACTGACTGACATTACTCTTTGTGGCGGAAGCAGTGATTTCTGTGGCCACAAAGAACAACTGTTTCCTTAATCACTCGTGTGTGTCTACTTGTACCATCATACTATGTGATGATTTATTGCTGATCATCATTCTTTCTCCTCTCACCCCCTTCAGCCCCCTCATCTCTCACCCCTACTTTATGTGACAGCTTTATTTCTAGAATCCACCTCAGGCCAAAACTCAGATTCACCCCCAAGTATTGTTAGGTTTTATGGAATACATTTCCTTTTTTGTTTAGCAAGACAGAGTTAGCTGGCAAGACAATTTCTGGGTGACTAATTCATTTTTCACTTGACAATCTCAAGATATGGGCTGTTTTATTGCTTTCTTTAGTCCATCAAATAAAAAAGTAACCCCTTGGAGTGTATGTGTGGTGTGTGTGTGTGTGTTTGGTTCAGGCTGTATATGTATCAGCAAAGAGGAAGTGTTGCATAAGCACACATCTATACCGCTGACTGCCCCCTCACTGAACTTGGTCATTCACAAAAGTAATGCAACACTGCCCTCTAAAGGGCCAAGCTGCAAACGCCACTCGCTCCCCAGAGAAGGAAGTTAGGATAAATGTAATGGCATTCTTGCCTATAAAATATTTATACCCCTATTTTAAAAGTAATTTCATTTAACCTGGTGTTGACACTGAATCAGTTTGTATAAATGATTTAAATTAACTCTGAGTGACAAGGAGCAGCCCAGCCACTTCATCCTAGCTTCACTCTCCCCTTGGTCACTTGGCTTCCAGGAGGGAATAGCTATTTTGGCTGTCAGCTATTTGGAAGCTCATTTACCATGGGTTAAGGGCTTCAAATCCATAATGTAAATCACTTGATTGACAGACCTTTGCCCCCAATGGCACAATCAATTTTCTATTGTAAAGCTAAATTAGTTTCTCCAAGCCAGTGAAGGAGCCTAGAGAAGTAAAGTCTGGAGGGGCAGGATTGGAAATTTGCATGGGTAACCAGTGTCATTTATTTCTGCTTTCTCTGTGGCCATCCATGAAGACAAAGGAGTTGATGACTCAGGAGAAGTAACCTGCTTTGCAGGCAGTAATAAAGGCAGCAACTCGGAAGTTCAGTCCCTCAGCTCCTTCCAGTCGGATTCTGGTGATGACAATGGTAAGAAGTCATGAGATTTACTTTGTGGGGATGGGTTCTGCTTTCTGTGCTAGCAGGTAACAATGGGGGGGAAAGGGATGCAACCAGCTTAGATTCTTAACCTGTTGCTTGGGCTTTTGAGAATGTTCTCCAGTATTCTGATGGACAGCATTATTGGCGTGTCCTTGCTGAAGAAGCACCATGGAGCTGCAGCTAGCAACAGGTCTAAGGAGCTGCCTCAGGAGTGATGAAGTCCCCTGGGCCCTGTAGTAATGAGTCCTTTAACTTTTTAGTTTTACTAGTGGTCTCCTTCCTCTTAGCATCCAACTTACCATCATTAGAAAATTAGTTCAAAGGCAATAACTCCTTCCCATCATCATTTAGTTTAATCCCCCTTATGAAACCCACCAGCCACTCCTCGGGAAAAAGATAAGACTGTCTGCCCATGTAAGATATACAACCTTAGAAACTCTAGTGTATATGTATATATATATATATATATACTAAGAGTCCAAATCAACTTGCTGGCAGTGGATTTCATTTGGTTTGGGGTTTATCATCCTTTAAGGCTCCTTGGGCGGCGCACATAGTTAAGCATTTGGCTACTAAATGAAAGGTTGGTGGTTCAAACCTACACAAAGGCAGTTCAGAAGAAAGACTTAGCAATCTGCTTGCAAAGGGTCGCAGTAATGAAAGCCCTAAAGAACACATTTCTACACTGAAATGCATGCAGTCACCATGAGTTGAAATTGATGTAACAGCAACTGATATCATCCTTTGGTGGCATGGACCTTTTGAGAATCTAGTTAAAACAAACAAACAAACAAACAACTCTGAGTTAGCACCCTAGAAAAATGCGCATACACCCACAATGTTGCATTTAATTCTATGTACTTTATGGGCCTCATTGACACTCCAGCACTGTTTTCTCTGTCTCTTGGGAATCGGTTTATGATGAAGTTGTAATGATGGACTGGGTTTTCTGAGCTGAGGAACCAGCTTTGGAGGATGTGTTATTCTCCCCAGAGCAAGGGAAGAGAGCAAAAGTGGTTATTAACAGTGAGAAATTGCCAAGAACAATTTCAAATCATCATCCACAAGACAGCCTCACTCCAGTCTATACATTAGACCATCTTACCATTTATAAGCAATTGGCAAAAGCTGGATGTTTATTAACTTCTGGAAGCATTCACCCATAAGCCCCTGCTGAGTTTCTCTTGTTTGCTAAACTCTATGCTGGGCAAGTACAACAGGAAAATTACATTGTACTTGCCTCCAAAGTAAAGACAGGAGCAAGTGAGTTCTGGGACCATAGAAGCAATTATGCAAGTAAAACTTTCTACCTTTGCAATCTCCCTAGCTGCAAATCTCTTCCTCCTTCTTCCCGAACACTTGGCACTCCTAGGAGGTACAGAAGCCTCAGTATCTCCTACTGCTTGGATAAGAAATCATATGTTGTTGTTAGGTGTCGAGTCTGTTTCGACTCAGCAACCCTTCTATATGGTTTCTGCAAAGCTTGTAGAAGTGGGGTTTTTTTCTGACCATTTTCTAAATCAGAGTAATGGCGTACCTCCAGATCTTTGCGCTGCCTTTGTGCTGATGTTTTTTCTCATCCCCAGACAGTAGAAAATCTGTAGCTGATTTGCATTTGATGCAGAAGCAACCAAGAACACCTAGTTTCCAAATTTCAGGCACCAACTCCAGCAATGATACCCGGTTGACTATTATCACGGTCTCTGTTGTGTGTGGCCTGAAAATCACACACCTGACCTTTTATGTTAAACATTCCTGTAGGTCCCAAGTACAGCAGATGGTGTTAGGAATTTTTTCAGCAAATTACTTTTAATCCTAATCACCTCTTCACAAGCTGCTGGTATTAGGTGCTTGTTGCTGTGTGCCAACGAGTAGATTTCAACTCATAGCGACCCTATAGGACTGCTGTAGGAAGAACTGCACCATAGGGTTTCCAAGGCTGTAACCTTTTTGGGGACAGACTGCCACAGCCTTCTTCCATGGAGAGGCTGGTGATTTCAAACTACTGGCCTTTCAGTTAGCAGCTGAGGAATGTCACCAAGGCTCTTTATCAGTTGATAAGGCTCATTACTATCAATCAATTGTGACTCATGGTAACCCCTGTGTTTGCAGATTGGAAAAACACTCTACAGGGTTTTCATGACTATGACCTTCAGAAGTAGATCACCAGTCCTTTCTTCTAAGGTGCGCCTGGGTGGGCTCAAACCGACAACCTTTCTATTAGCATCCCAGCATTCAGCCACTTGTGCCACCCAAGGGTCCCTAAGCCAATCCATTTAGACCACCGAAATCTTTCTGGATTGTAAATGTTTGAGAGACCAAATGCTGGTTTCTGTCCCCACTTGGACCCAGGGACAAGCCAGCTGAGAACGGGGCATTGAGTTGTTTGAAACTATCAGGGACATCGTGTGAGTGTACAGTTGTCCGTCCAACAATGGTTACCCTCTGCCACTGGCATTTGGACACAGGTTTGGTGCAGTAGGACCGACCAACAAATAACTAGCTTGGGAACGATGAGGTCTCCCTCTGAGAGCTTATGGGAGCTGCTAATGGACTTCTGATGTCGCGCTGTAGGATCAGCACTAGACTGTGAGCCACAAGTTGCTCCTCAGAAACCCTATATAGGGTTGAATAGGTCAGAACCTACTCAATGGCACTTAACAGCAACGAGAAATAAGCAGGATAGAAATGACTTACTGCCTTCTGTTGAGCCATTCAGTGTGAATTTATGACTCTGAAGTCCCTAGAATCATGCCTTTCAGGAAGACTGGCCCCCAATTTGCTACCATTTCCCTTCCATGCCAAGAATCTTTAGGACCCTCCCCACTACCTCTGAGGTAGAAGTGTCCATTGAAGCATCGCCTATTGATTTCATTGTGAAAAACTCTGGGTGTTTTCATGTTGCGTCTTTGTTGTTACTGTTGTTGTTAACATATGTTTAATATACACCACTAACCTGAAGCTGTCCTTCCCCACCCTCTCGCCTGCCTTTCCTGACCACAAGCATCCATAGTGACTGTCATTCAGCTTGTCAACAATGTCGTTGACAATATAGAAAATGAAGGTATTTACTTTTTTTCTTCCATAACATGTCTTTGTCTAAAGATTTATCCTTTTGGAAATGTGGGTTCCTTATTACTTTACACTAGAAATGATTTTAATCAACTGGCAACAGAGGGGGGCAGAAAACAAGTCATTTCAAATGAGATGCTAGGTGCTTATTGATTAGCATTAATTTTACAATTTTGAAAAAACAACCACTTCATCGTTTTTTAAATATTAGGGCGCTCTTTTTTTTAAAAAAAAAATAATAATAATGCCTTCTAGTAAAAGAGGAAAATTAGTTGGAATCTAATACCAAGTTCATCCATATTTGGCATGTATTCATTAAGCACTTATCTGCTGAGAATATTTAACTAATAATCACTCATATTTAAATTTTATGGGGATTTATTTAATCAGGTAACATTTATCAGTACCTTAATGAGATAAGGGCTTGGAATAGATGGGATTTTTGTCTTTCCTTAAAGAAACAATGGAGAGTATTTAAAATCGGTCACAATCCGTAGACCTTTCAGGGCATGTTTTTGTTGTTATTGATGTTGTTTATTGGTTGGTTGGTTGGTTAGTTTTAAATCATATAAAATGTTCTATTTTATCCCTCTTGACATGACTTGGAATGTCAGTTTTACTTTTCACTTTGTATTTATTTAAACAGTGTCTGTCATGGATCAAGGACAGAACTACAACCGAGGTGACTCTGCCAAGACCCCAACATGACATTTTTTTCATTGTTTTGATTTGCTAAGACTGCCCTTGCCCTCTCCTTCTCCCTCTAGCCTTCCTGAGTTATTGGGTCTGAATTTCGCATGTTGCAGGTGTCTTGTGTGCTCCGAATTGAGGTGAAAGCCTCACCATCCTTCTTCCCCTCAGCCTGTGGGTGGCTCCTCCACTTACCTGCAAATTCCCCTGCCTCTTGTGGCCCATGGTCCAACTGGTGCATCTCTCTCCATGAGCATGCTGCCAGCCTTGCTCTGCATGTAGGATGTGGATAGAGAGAAAGGGTGAAGAGGGGACCCTAGAACGTTGCTCCTACGCATGTCCTTGCTGGCCATCTTGCATGGCATGGCTCAGTGGGAGGTTCTGCAACAGCTAAGCACCATCTGAGAGCTGATAACACCTGTTCCAGTACACTGTGATAGGCCCTTGTGAGGAGCATGTGGATGATTCTGGCTTTTTAGGGTCTGTTAGATGTTAAGACTTGCATGTCAGTTCCCTTCTCGGCTTGTCTCCCAGCCCTGCCCCAGCTCCAGCCTGGAGAGAACTAACTGTCTTGTTTTTTTTCTTTTACAGCCTATCATTGGGATACCTCTGACTGGATGCCTGGGGCCCGCCTGTCAGACATAGAGGAAGTACCCCACTATGAGAACCAGGATGGAAGCTCTGCACACCAGGGCAGCACCCGGGAGTTGGAGAGTGATTACTACCTGGGCGGCTATGACATCGACAACGAATACCCACCCCCTCATGAAGAGGAGTTCTTGAGTCAGGACCAGCTGCCCCCTCCTCTGCCAGAGGACTTCCCAGACCAATATGAGGCCCTGCCGCCCTCCCAGCCTGTATCACTGGCCAGCACACTGAGTCCAGACTGCAGGAGAAGGCCACAGTTCCATCCTAGCCAATACCTCCCTCCTCACCCATTCCCTAACGAAACAGATTTGGTGGGCCCACCTGCCATATGTGAATTTAGTACTTTTGCCGTGAGCATGAACCAGGGCACAGAAGCCACGGGACCAGCAGACAGTGTGTCTTTACCCTTGCACAATTCCAGAGGTACCTCATCCTCGGATGTGTCGGCCAACTGCGGCTTTGATGATGCCGAAGTAGCCATGAGTGACTACGAGAGCGTCGGGGAGCTCAGCCTCACCAGCCTTCACATTCCATTTATGGAGACTCAGCACCAGACCCAAGTGTAAAAGCGACACATCTCAGGTGCTCTGCGCTGTTTGTTATAGAAACGTCGAAGGAGATTGAGCCTGCGAGTCTCAATGGACACAGTGGTCTATTGAGCGAGGAGGAAATACAGTATTTTCCACTAAGAACTTCTTCCCAAGTAAAACGGTCACAAGTGAACTCAATTCCAACTGGGTGCAAATGGAAGGCTCAGAAATTGTTTCTGTGGTAACTGAAAACCCTGGCAGTACTTACCTCCTTTCATGGTGAAGAAGAAGGCACACAGAGCTTTTTCAAAGGGAGAGAAGTGATTTCACCCACTAGGTTACATGGTAGCTCTTTGGTTGCTTGGTGCAGTATTGGGGCCTAGAAAGTGTTACAGCATCAGCCCTACAGTATTAACTGGCAACAATCAAAGAGGCATTGTTGCATGTAATTTGAGCCAATGGGGGGAGGGGGAAGTGAGGGAATGAAAAGAGTAGTTATGATTGTTGGAAAGTTAGTCTCTTAGGTAAAAGACAAAAGAACAAATATTATTGAACAACTGAAGAAAATGGGCTGAAGCCTTTAAAATCAACTCTATTTTTTTTTTTAATAAGCTGCCCAATTTCCAGCTATAAAATTAGGTTTAAGTAACATGTTTACTATGCTCAATTGTTTCTGTTTGTTTCTTTTAAGCATCCAATATAACAGAGTGGGGTTTTATGATCTCTAAGGAAGATATCAATGAAGAGCAATGTAAGAATATTTGGGTGACATTTTGAGGGAGAAGGTTAATTTTGTCTGAACGTGAATATTAGAATGTGATGATCTTGCTTGGGTTTTTGGTTTTTTCCATTAAATATTTCTGGCTGGTACGGCAATTCTAACATTCCTGCAGAAATTGTGCTTTATTCTGAGAATCAGGACATGAAAACAACAAGAATTAGTATATTGTTATCTAAAATGAGAGTTATATAGAATGTTACGCAGAATACACAAATTCAGAAAAATACATATATAACATTTTCAAAGTTTTTAAACTGAGTAATCATAATTCTTGATAATGCAAGGTAAAAGATGCCTGTTATTCTAAATTGATAGCATTGTCACTATAAATGCAATTTATAGTGTTAAAAAAAAAAAGGAAGAAGAAAATAGATTAGTTGCTGTATATAAATTATAATAGTGTGTATGTCTGGGCCAACGTACAAATATGTGCTTGCACTCGATAATGCTGTTCTTGAGGAAGGCTGACAAGACGGTTTTGGGATATGGATCATGTTGAAAACTGCCGATGAGACAAAACTTCCCATTTCTCTGATCTCTATGATGTTAGAGAAACACCAAATGCCATATTTCTACTCCAGTTCAGTTGACTTTGTTTTGGTCCTGCCATTTATATTAGCATAAAACAAAACTCTACTTTTTAAAAATAGCATTTTGTTATAATTTTCCAGATCTAAACTCTATTTGAAGAACATGTAATGTTTAATTATACCCTGGGGTTCTCCTCTCATCTGAAATACAGTTTTTGGCCATGAATTTACAAAATTGAAAGGAGAATCGTTCCTCTGGAAATACACTAGCAAAATACTCACACTTCAAGGTGAAGACTTGAGTGAAAGACTTGCCTCGATTGCTTCAATCACATTATGGCTGTGTGTGCAGTAGCCATGGTAAATAAATGCACATTTGCACTATCTGCTTAATGAGCAAATCTCTTGTGTCCACAGTTTCAGATGACATATGGCACTGGTGTGTAAATTGTATTGTCCGGAGTCTGCCTATCATCCACTTAGACATATTTTAGTTGTTTCCATTGTATTGAATCCACTTACTTCTTTGTAGGAGTCAATGTTTCTGAACTATTCCATGGAAAATTTCCTTTTCATCCCTATGCTTCCTGAGTAAGTGGACATGCTTGGCAAGATTTTTAGCCTTTCTCCTCTTTCTATCTCTTGGTCAGACCTCCTCACAGCAGTATTATACACACTGTGGTCTTGAAATAAATGAATTATCACTAAGACTGTTTGCTATAATAAAGTCTTTAGTATGTTTCTTATGTAAGAAGCACATTTGCAAGAATCATGGAGGAAATGACAAACTAATGGTCTAGAATAGAATCACTGCTACACTTTTAATAATGCAATGACATAAAAACCATCAAAGTAAAGCCAACAATTCATTCCTTGCCCCCAGGAAATATTAGATCAAGATTAATGCCAATGAGTCACTACTGCTTACACAGCATCTCTTCAAGGGAGAATGCCTGAGTGACACAGTAATAAAGAAATAAATAGATTCTAATGCAGTTGTGGTTTGGCACTGTGGGTTAATGTGCCAGACTGCAAAGCCGTTTGAACTGCAAGGTCAGCGGCTCAAGCTCACCAGCTGCTTCTTGGAAACCCTACACAGGGTTGCTATGGGTCAGAATCACCTTGACGGCACTTAACAACAACAACAACAAATGCAGTTGTGAAATAACTGATTTCACTGAGTGTGCCCACTCTTTGCTCTGACCTATATCAAATACCTCTTTCTTTAGGATTTCTTCCCCTAATTTTTTGCAGAGTAGCTCTGCAGCTAAATGTATACCACACAAGCATGTGCTATATTTGGATTCATTATCTTTAGACACCTAATATATCCTCACTTTTTTTAAAAATGGGGAAATTAGATTTCCTTATAAATTAGGAAACGGTTTGTAGTCAGGCCAAGATGAAGCTAGGTGGCATGACTGCTGATTCAAAGAGCTAGAAGAGACATGCAGCTCTGTTAGCCCAATCCTCTTTTACATATATTTTTTTAAAGGAGCAACCATGTCCAGAGAGGAGAAGGCATGTGCCCAGGTTTGAAAAAGGAATTTTAAGTAGCTGACAGAGACTAGAGCTTGTCCAGTGTAGAAATACTTTTTCTACTACATAGCACTGTTGGTGGTTTTGAATACCATCAAGTCAATTCCGACTCATAGTGACCCTGTACAGGGTTTCTCAGGAGCAGTTGATGGGTTGAACCGCCAACCTTGTGGTTCGCCGTCCGTTGCTAATCCTACAGCGCCACACCAGGAGTCTATGGCACTAGTCACCACTAACTGACTTGGGGGAGGTAGATGTCTGCTTCTGCTAGACCCTCCGCCTTCTGTCATTCCCACTTTGGGATGTGCTTGGAAACAGAACTCATGGGGCATATTTCTCTGAAAGCCTCGTAACTGAGGTTCTCAGTAGGTCCTCTACAGAGGTCACAGTTACAGAATCCACACATTTCTTTATCAGAATGCTACTTTGGCAAAATGAATGGTTTCTAAAATGGAGGTGGGAGTATTCTTACACACCTGAACTCAGATCAGTTATACATTGTGGTGAAACTTTGATTATAATGATACCCTCTGAGTACTTTTTTTTTTTTTTTTTTAATCTCCCTACAAAACTACCGGATGCTCCATAGGACAAAGATGAGGCTTTCTGCTCCCATAAAGATTTATAGCATCGAAAACCCTGTTCAGGGTCGCTATGAGTCAGAACTGACTCAACAGCACATAACAACAACAACTAGTCTTAGTTTGGAGTCCTAGTATGGTGCTGTAGGATAAACATTGGACTACAAGGTTGGTTTGAACTGCAAGCCAGTGATTCAAACTCACTAACCGCTCCTTAGAAACCCTATACAGGGTCACTATAAGTCAGAACTAACCCAACAACACTTAACAACAACAGCCTTAGTTCTGGTTCCTAAACTGCCATTCTAATGAACCGCGTGAGAATTTTTATTCTTTTTTTTTTTTTTTTTTTTTACTTTGTATTGTGAATTGGATGAAGGTTTAGAGAGCACATTCATCTTCCTTTCAATGTGCACATTTGGTTTCCTATTATTGATTGCAATGCCCACAATGTAATATCACTTATTCCGCCTCCTCCATGTATTCCCCATATCCTTTCCTCCTTCGTTCCAATCTTTTCTGCCTTCTGAACTTTATTCTTGGACAAATTGGGCATCAACTTGCTGTTCAAACCTACCTAGCGTGGCTGATCACCATGTAGACTTCTCTTAGAGGCTGAAACTTTGGCTATGGGGGTGAGTTCATGTCTAGACCTGAAGGATGAGGTTCCACTAGTCTCTTATCTAACCAGTACTCCTGGCCTTTTTTGTGTGTGATTTTGCGTTTTGCTCCACATCATTAATATTTAAGCCAATATTTCTGTTTCCCTTTTTCTAACATGTGCTACCTCCCAACAGCCATTTTCCCATAACTGTTGTAGGCACTTTATCTGTATTGCACACATTATGGTTAGGTTGAAGCTGGGTGAACTTTTGTTGTTTATCATAGAGTAAGTAGGAGCTGTAGCGTAGTAACAGATGAATACAAGTCAATATCTGATCAATTCCCTTCCTCTAACTATTTGGCTGCTAGGTTCCTTCCACACCAGCTTTCCACATACCCATGAAATGCCATCCTAGAAGACTTAGTAATATGAGTAGGTCAAGTCCACATGTATGAGGTTTGACCCATCAGAGAATCGGTGCGAAGGACTGAGAAGGGAATGTAAAATGCATTCCTAACAGTTACCTTGAACTGTCCTTTGGAATTACTAGCACAGTAGGGAATAAAAAAAACAATTAAAATATATATTCTATTGATTCCTCCTACTTATTCCCACAGAACTCAACCTGCTGCCCCCATTAATGCTGTGTCTACACAATCAAAGTCAGGGAAATTTGGAAAAGAGATTGTTAAAATAAAGATCCAGAAAACACTTTCATGTGAAATAATTCAGGAAAATCCAATGTTCATTTTGCATGGATTGTCAAGATAATTGTCTGACCTCTTCACTCTGCTGCCCTCCCAGTGCATTGAAATTATTGCTAAGGTAGCTAGGTTTTCATGTTTTATGTTTCCAACCATGGGAAATAGAGACTTGAAGAGGCATCTCTTCTGTGTTGTCATTCTGTGGGGTTTGTGAGAAGGCGATTATGTATTTTTTGCTGGTTTGTGTCCTGCAATGTTAAACTGCACATATTTCTGATGAAAACCCATGATGTCTTT